TCCTCCTCCTGTTCCTTCTTCCTGCTCCTACTTTTTCTCTTCCTCTTCCTCCTCCTCGTCCTCCTCCCCCGCCTCCTCCTCATCCTATTCATCCTCCTTCCCACTCCCTCATCCATCCATCCATCCATCCACGTCATCTTTTTCCTACTCACTCCTTTGCACGGTTCGGCCGTCCTCCTCTTTGCTGCCGCACTTCCCTGATCACCTCAACTCGCCTGGACATCGTTTGTGGATGGGCTGGTGGGGATACTTATTTGATCTGCGGCCCGCATGGAAAAGTCCAGAAGGAGGGTCAATCGGGCTGACTGGGGCACAGAGCCGAATAATTTGCGAACCCAGCTGGTGGTGGGGATACGTTTTTTTTGATCGGCGGCCCGCAAGGAAAAGTCCAGAGGGCGTGTCAATCAACGGCAATGGGGCGCAATGCCAGATAATTCGTGAGGGCCAGGCCACAGAAGGAGGAAGCCGCCAGAGGGCGCCAACCCACGCCCGTGCAACATGCAGAACAGGACGACAGCGGCACCAAGCCAGAACTTTTGACCGGCCGTCCTAACAACAGCCGACCGGACCAGCAGGCGAACACATACCCTGCACGGGGCAAATTCTAGAGAGCGGACCGTCCTGACGACAGCCAGCCGCGCCGGCAGGAAGGCACACAACCAATCCTGCACGAAACAAATTCCAGAAGGCCAAGCGGCGAGAGAAGGAAGGCAGCCGAGAGGGCGCCACCCCACGCACGCGCGGCATGCAAACCGGGGCGACTGAGGCGCCCAGCCAGAGTATTAGTCGGGCTGCCCTAACAACAGCCGAACACACGGACACGCAGGCGCACGCCCCACGAGACATGGCCAAGAAGCAATGCGTGCCAAGGAAGAAGGCCGCGATGCAAGCCGGCCTCTAAAAGGCGGCGAAAAAGGGCGGCACGAGCGCGGCGCATTGGGGGGGCCAACGGCCCGCCGCCACAGCGCGCCAAAGAGAGAGCCCAGGCAGACGATGCGGGCCTAGGTGAATGTGACCAAGGCCAAAGAGCCGCGGGCTGGATTATTTCAGCCAGGCCTACGGGCTAAGCCCACGACAGTGGGGGCCTAAGGAGTGAAACTGAGCACCTGGCTCCCAGGTGGGCCAAGGGCGAAGAAAAGAAGGGATGGGAGGGGGGGCGGGGCGAAAGCGGCAGAAGAGCGAGAGAGGGGTAGGAAAGCAGGTGGCCTCACTCACTGAGCACCATGTGCTCGCTGGCGAGTCGACAGGGCCCAATCGCGGACACCGCGTCACCGTGCCCGAGTCAGACAGGTCGGCAACGCCGGGGGGGCAACGTCGGCCAGGAGAGGCGTGGCCCTGGCACAATGTGCACCACGCGAACTGGAAGTCGCACTCCAGAGCGACGGTGCCGAAGAGCGGGGCGGCCAAGATGAGGAAGGCCAGGCCTGCAAGACGCCGCTGGCCGAAAGCCCACGCCATCCAAGCGAGCGCAGCAACGTCCCGAAATGCGAGGGGGAAGCACCTCATCCCCAGGAGGTGTCCCAAAGTATCGGCCAGGTCCACACAGCGGGTGTCGTCACCCCTCAGAAGTCGCTGGCTGCGTCAGGAGGGGGGGAGAGGAGGCGCAGCCGATAGCCGCAGAACATTTGAAGAAATGGAGAGGAGGCGTCGGATGCAAACGCCCCCAGACAAGGACCCAACACGCGAAGTCGGCAAGTCGTGGCGCGCGGCGCCGTCGCGGAGGGGGGGGGGAAGCCGCGTGGGCAAGGCCGTCGGACTTCAGGAGTCTGGAGCGCATGGGGGGGGGCCTTTGGCCCGCCGCCCCGGCCATCCAAAGAGAGCGCCCCAGCGGGCGACGCGGGCCCATGACAGCGAAGCCAAAGAGAGCCGTGGGCAGGGTTATTGCAGCCAGACCGCACGGGCAAATAGCCCCCGGAGTACCGTGGGGAGCCAAGAGCAGTGTGAGTGTGCACCTCGCCCCCAGGAGGTGGCAGGTGCATTTAGGCCGGGGCCTGTCACTGCGGCGAAACGAGCCCACATCCTGAAGGGACATCCCACTGCCGTTGCGGCCCGTGGGGGGCCATCTGTCCCCGGCGCCACCCCCTCGCCCGAGGCTTGCCTGTGGGCGGCCGAGGGACTTACTATGACCAAGGTGGCCCCTGCCTATGTGGAGCTGGTCTGTGAACGTCACGCGTCGTCGGTCAGTCGCCAGTCGACGAGGGCGTCAGGAGAGGGGGGGGGGGGGGGGGGCAGCCGATAGCCGCAGAGCATTTGAATAAATGGGGGGAGAGGAGCCAGAGGCTCACACCGTTATTGAGGACCCAACACGCGCGGTCGGCATGTTGTCGGCGCGCGGAGCGCGGGGCAGTCGGACATCGAGGGTGCGGAGCGCATGGGGGGGGGGGGGGGGGGGGGAGGCCTTAGGCCTGTCGCCCAGCCGTCCGAGGTGCGCGCCCTGTCGGGCGACTTGGGCCCATGTCCTCGCGGACAAGGCCAGAATGAAACGCGGGCAGGATTATTGCAGCCATACCACGCGAGCTAAGGGCCCAAGAGGACCAGTGGGAGTCTATACGCAGTGTGAGTTGTGCACCTCACTCCAAGGAGGTGACGCGGGTATGAAGGCTGCTGCCTGTCCCTGGGGTGAAACGGGCCCCCCTTGGTCACGGGGCAGCTCTTAGGCGACGTGGCCCGGGGGGTCTTCCGTCCGCGCCATCTCGCCCCCCCCAGCTGCGAGTCTGTGGGCCGCAAAGGGGGCGCTCGAGGACCATGGGGCTGCCGACCCATTGGGCCCCGCGTGGCACGTCGGGGGCCCATGCGGCACGCAGGGTCAGCGCGATAGATGCCACTCTGTATAGTTTGGTGGGCGCTGCACCCAGCTGACCGAGGTCGTTGTCTACAAGAAAGCACGCTTTGCGCTCCGAGACAGGCTGAGTGGCAACGCGGAGCATCGCCATGAGCGGGGCGGAGGTGGGCAATGTCGCGCCCCGGGGTTCCGTGGGCGTGGACTGAGGCTCGAGCCGTAGACGTGCACTGAGAAACGCCCGACGGGGAGCCAAGGGGGCGGGACAGGGACAGGAAGAGTGGCCCTTGGCCGCGTGGCCCTCGATGACGGGGCCAGCCCTTCCTGGGCCTGAAGCCGAGACCTCGCGTCTTGGCCGTGCCCGACGGCGTCACTTGCGGCCGAAGTCCCGCCCTCGCTGTCGTTTGTCGGCGTAGCGCGCGTCGCCTCTAGGGGCGGCCCTTTTCTCCTTTGTCCTCCAGTCTGTGCCGGCCCATGTGCTTTGCTGGCGGCCCCATCCCTCCTAGGACTGCCATGGGCGCCATGGGGCAGCTGAGCTGGATGCGCCCGCCTGCGCGGCAACCCTGTAATCGGTGCATGCCGGCGGGGCAGCTGTGGCTTCTCTAGGTTTGCTCCATGGGTACCTCTGGCCATCTCCCCTGGGCTCGCCCGGGGGGGATGCACGCGTGGCGTCACTGTCCCTGTCGGGCACTGAAGGGGGCATTGGAGCGACATTGCTGCTGACGGCCCATGGGCACGGGCGGCTGTCGCTACTGCGTCCCTTGGGGGCTCGCGTCCTCGTGTCGCGCTGTAACAGAAGGCGATGCTTCTCCATGACTGTTGGCCACTCCACGTGGAGCTGGTGCTCGACGTCCATCTTGTAGGCATCGTAGCCAGCTTCTTCCCATGCCAGAAAAAGCCTTCGCATAGTTGTACCGTGTTCTTCTTGGGGTCGGATTTGATGTTGACCCACGGGGCCCCGCGCCTGCTGCCTGCCTTACGAACCCAGGCGGTCCAAATCCCATTGAATGCGCCCCCCAGCGTCTTCTGTAGCCTGATGATATTGTCTGAGGCTGGTTCGTCTACTTTGGTGTCAGCCTCGTAGATAGGCTTCATGTACATGGGGAGTCCGCCCAAAGGATCGTCTGGGCGCGCGGGTGGGAGGGGTGCTGCCTGGGGGTCGGGCCGTCGGTCCGACCTGGCGTTCTGCCACGGCGAGCTAAGTGGCGGGCGGGCACCGCGATCAAGTGTGGCGTCCTCGGGTATGGAGCGCTGACGGCGCTCTGTCTTGCTCCCCGCCCCCCCTAGATCTCTGCCGTCTCCGATCTCTTCCTGGAGCGAGCGGGAGCGGGCAGTAGCGAAAGGCGCCCAGGCTGCTCACTCGACCCCTGGTGGGGGCTGGGTCCACAGGACTGGCGGGCTGTGGGAAGCATCGCTGTCGCTTGGGCCGGGGGCGTCAGCCTCATCTGCCTGTTGTGTGGGACTGGCGACCATGGAGACGGTCCTGTCTGGTGGGATTCCCAAAGCCTGTCCTTCTGTATCCGGCCCTTTTGTTGTCCTCGTCCCAATCGACTTCGTATTCGCCGCTGCCGTTTCCGTATCTGTGTAGAGATGGCACTTCCCTTACCTCTCCGTCCGACTGTGCCGGCGCAGCGGGTTGCTGGAGGGAAGCATGGTCGGGGGGGCACTCAGATGAAGCTGTCAGGGGCTTGCTGCGCCAGATCGCAGCGGGGGATCCGTCACCCTCCTCGCTGCTGGGCCTCCCGACATTGCGCTCGCCGGCAAAGACCTCTATTGTTCCTACTCAAAGGCCGTCCTTCATTTGAGCTAGGAAGTGCGTTAGCGTACCCAACGGTTGGCGCCGGGGGCACTGTCCTTTCTGGTTGTCGAGTGTGTCTGCAAAGGGCCGCCATGCCTCCTGGTATTTCTGGTTCCTCTCCACCAGGTGCGTAATGACATTGGCCGCTGCAGCCATCTGTCTGTCCCAGGGGATGAGGGGGGGGGGGGTGACCATTCCTGGGGATCTCTTCCCCGTAGATGGAGTCCAGGAAGCGCACCAGGTGCTCGAGTGACCATCCTGATTCGTCGGTCACATCACCCACTACTTCCCTGCCCCAGCGCTGCGTGTGGGCCGTCCATAGGGTGTAGACCATGTGGTTCCACTCAATCAGAAACTTGACCAGCTCGCGGACGGGGCCACTCGACTGATCTCCAGCGAGACGGTGGGTGGAGAATGTGGGCAGTAGGGGCGCCTTGGGTGGTGGGAGAGCAGGTAGAGTGTACCTGTGGGTACCTCCGCCGCCGTCGGGGTTTCCCTCCGGGCGCGTGGCGCGCCCTGGGTCGTCGGGTAGTGTCGTCGGTGGGCTGGGGCCGGTGGCTGTCGCTGGGCTGATTGGGGAGAGATGAGCTGACATGTCGTAGATGCCTCATTTCTCCGAGTTCTCGCTGATCGCCGGCCTCTTGGTGGGGGAGGCAGGGTATACCTCGTTCGAGCATAGATCAAGCACACGGTCGAGGACACTGGGAGCGAGGTCCCATATGTGTACCAGGCACGTCCTGCAAGCCCAACTGGCGTTCCACTGCCTCCTGATCCACAACGATGGCATTGCGTCCCACGCTGGGAGACCTGTCTGGTCATTGCAGTCTGCGTCCCCCTCTGGGCGCCATATGAAGCACCCCAATGCGGGTGCGCCGGGCGACCACTCGATGGTGGTGGGGATACGCGAAGCGTCTAGAATTTCGGTTAGTGGAATGGAGCGGGGGGGGCGCGTTCCCCAGTACTCCAAATCCCTTATTCATCGTCCCCCGGGGTCTGATTTTTTTGAGGCGGATTTTTTCAACTTGGGGGATCCGGTTTTTTGGGCGCTTTCTTTGGACTGGAGCTTATCCGGTTTATTAAGGCGCCCCGTCGAAGAAGGGGGTCCAGAATATTAGGCCGCATTTGGAGGGGTGTCCGGTTTTTTGGGGGGGTCCATGAGTGAGGGATTTGGAATACACGTCCCTAAACCAGGCCCCACTAAAACCCGTCCTGCCAACGCCCGATGCTCATCTCTTAGGGGCACACCTTTTACTCCCGCCGCCTTCCGCCGGCCTTCCGCCGGCGGAGGCGGCCTCGTTTTACTTCCCCCGCGGAAGCGATGACAGCCCGTTCTATCCTCGAAGGCAAGGTCCTCTTGGGAGCGCCCCATTTGCCGCCCCCCCGCTGCGCCCCACCCCCTCAAGTCGGCCTCCGGAGACCCTCGCTGGGCCCTGGGGCCGTCAGACACAGCTCGGGCTGAGCAGCCAGCCCTGGGGAAGAGGTCGGGAGTTCCAAGGACCCCGCCTTGAAAAAATCAGGGCGTCGAAGCCTCGCGCGGAAGGGGGGAGGACAAGGGGGAGCATTAGGAGGCAAGCCATGGGAGATCTTCGCAAGAACGACTGAGGGCAAATAAGCCATTCAGCCAGATGGTCCCAGAAGAATCCTGCGATTAACACCGATGCTGAACTGAACCTCACAGGAGTTGCACTCTAAGGAGCATGCTGGAGGATCGAGGGCGTGGGGGTCGATTTCTGAGCAAGCTTGGTCGTCCCCGCCGCCGAGGCTGGATTGCAACCTCAAGGTTTATGATGTTCCACCGACTTGAGCCTTGACCACCAGAAAGAATTTCGAGCACCAAGAAAATACCGAAACTGGAGGGTGTTCACGTGTCGGGCCCTGGGAGGCGATACTCGTTCGACACTGCTTCAATACTCTTCTGGGTGCTCCGAACTACTTCTGGGATATATGAGATGGGCCTTCAGCGCAATGGGAGCAACGTAACTCAAGGCTCTGCTCAGGACCATCGACGGGGTCGGGGGAACGACTTCTGACACCCAGGCCATGGCGCCCTCGCGTCGTGAAACAGCATGCAACGGAGAAATGCCTGACGGTGTTCCGCCTCTTGGGGCATCGAGTCGCTCCCTCGGGCCGTCAGGACACCTGATATTGCCACGAACCCCGACCTGAAAATGGAGGTGGGGATGATTGGTGAGAGCGGCAGGGACAAGGAAGGAGTGGCCTGTTGTGGGCTTGATTAGACGACGGGGAAGACGTCCGACGAAGAAATATGCATAATCGTGGTTCGTCTCTCGGGGGCTTCTGGGAGACTGTTTTGAGGCCTCTTGGGGACAGTTTTGGGGCATAATTTGGTCTTTTTGGACGCCTAATTTGGGGCTCTTGGGGGCCTCTTGGGTGCTTCTTGGGCTCTCTTGAGGGCCTCTTGGGGCCTCCTGGGGCTCTCTTGAGGCAGGAGGCTCGAATTTTCGGTTCGTGGTCCCGCTCTTGGGCCCCTCTTGGGGCCGTCTTGGAGCCCTCTTGGACCGTCTTGGGCGCTTCTTGGGCCGTCTTGGGGCCCTCTTGGGCAGTCTCGGGGCAGTCTTGAAAGCTTCTTGGGCCGTCTTGGAGCGTCGGAAAGCCGAAGAGGCGCGAAGTCCAAAATCCTTCAGAAACCGTTGTAAAGTTATTGATTTTCACCTCTTGGGGCGCTCTTGGGCGGCTGATTGGAGGCCTCTTGGGGCGTCTTGGAGGCGTCAGGAAAAAAACTCGGGATGATCGGCCTCGGGGAGGGAGCCGAGACCTCCGAGAGTCTACATGGCAGAAGAAACACGTCGTCGCAGGTCTGGGGAGGGGGAACATGAGGGGGAGGAGGAACGAGGGATGAGGATGGAAGAGTGGGAGGAGGGCCTTTTGGGACCTGGTGGGGTAGGCCTTCGGAGACCTCCCCATGGGAGGAGAACGAGGGCGCACAGGGAGGATCGCCTGTGCTGCTACGGCTTGCGAAGCGGAGGAGGGATGCTGAGGGGAAGGAAGCGGAGGTGGGAGGCGGGTGGCAGGGGAGAAGGGGAAGAGGGCGGCAGGGGAGGGTGGTGGATGGGGGAAGGAGGGAGCACGGTGGCGGGAGGGAGGAGAGGAGGATGATGCCGGACCTGCCCTTCGACCCCCTGGAGGCGCTCTTTTCTCTGGTCGGAGCCTCGGCAGCTTGCCAGCCGGCGGTCCCTGGCGCCGCGGCGCCCACGCCGCAGAGAGGCCCACCAAACCGATCTGGAGCGCGCCTCGCCCTGGGCCCTCACCCAGACTGCGAAGGCAGCGGCAGCAAGCAGTGCGCAGCCCTGTTGGCACGCACACGGGGAGAAGCGCGAGGGGGATCCTATCCTATAGCCAAGACCCCCTCGGGTCACGACAGAGTCACGACGGGCTGTCTCGTGGCGCTCTTCCTGCCCCTGGGGGCCCCTGCTGGGACCTGGGGCCAAGTCAGAGAACGACTCATGAGGAACAGCCTGTCCCGGGGAAGGGGTCCAGACCTCTGGAGGTTTACGTCGTGAAATCGAACAAGGCGTCGAGGGTCTGGGAGGAAGGCAGGGTGCGTCTTAGAAGCGGTCCGGGGCTTCTGAAAAGGCTCCTTGGACGACAAGAGGGCTCGTAATGACCCCTCTGGCTTCTTAGAATGCCACTCCCCTCGCCGCGAAGTAGGGGCATACTTGCAATTTATTTGGACGCGCCCAACGTCCATGCTCGAATGTTCTGGGAGGCCGCAAGACGATCCACAACGCCGAAGGACAAGCCAACACTGTGACCCGACGTCGCAAGACAATCCACAACGTCGTGAAAACATCACGGCTGGAACTGTCGACCACTTCTTTCCGATTGATTTCCCGAGCCGAATCAATCTATGGGAGCCACGGGCCAGCAGCGAGGGCAATAACGCGTCGGTCGCGATCTTGTACGGCGGCGCCCATGTATGAACCATCGTGGCCACGAACTGGCCCAGACCTCCGACGGCACAATGTGTTGTCACGTCCCCCACGAGCTCTCGACCCAGTCACAAGGCCAAGCTCTCGTCGCAGATCGTCCTCTGACAGCCGCGGGCCCACGCGCGGGCAAGACTTACATCCATATCCAGAGCGTCTTGAACTCTTTGGGAAAGGGGTGCCGCAAGGCCGAGGCTCACTGGAGATGGATAAAACTTCGGGCCTCTTGGGGCCAGATGTTCATCCACACCCAGTGCGCCTCCGGCTTCTGGGGAAGAGAACCCCAAACTCCAAGACGCACTGGATGTGGATATAGCCATTGCCCGCACCACGAGCACGTGCCCTCGTGGATGCCGAGGTCACGCAGGCGCTGGCCGCGGTGGTCGTTTCCTTCCTACGGCGCTGGAAACCTGGGCCTGTCGGCCGCGGCGACCAGCATGCACGGGGCACCAGATGGGGCGTCACCACGTGATTTTGGACGAAAAATAAAACATATTCAAAATGTACAATAATAACAAGAAAAATGGGTATAAAAAAGTCCCCATACTAATTCTCTCCTACTCTTGAATGCCATGTAACGCCCCTCGCGGGGGTAGAAACCAATTGGACCAAGTGTATTTGCTGGGGCGTCACGCTGTCACCCGGCTCATCCTTTCCTCATCATGCCCGTCCTCCTCCTCATCCTTCTCCTCGTCCTCCTCCTCCACATCCGTTTCCTTGTCCTCCTCCTCCTCCTCCTCCCCCTCCTCCTCCATGTCCTCCTCCTCCTCCGCTTCCCCCTCCCTACCTCGGGCGTGATGGACCATGGGACCTCATGGAGCCTCCTGGTAATCCCGGGGGCCTCCTGGGATAGCAACCTCTGGGGACGTCCTGCGGCCTCTTGAAACCTCCTGGGCTCTGCTAGGGTATCCTCAGCCCTCCAGGGGCGTCCGCAGCGTTCTGGAACTTTTGGGTCGTTCAGGATACGCCCGGAGCGTGATGGGACCTCCTGAGGCCTTGTGGGACCTTGCGGGCATCCTGGGACCTCCTGGAGCGTCCTGGAGCCTCCTTAGGATTCTCACGGCCTCCGGGGACGTCCTGAAGCCTCCTGGAGCTTCCTGATGCCTCCTGAGACCTCCTGGGGCCTCTTGGCGGCTCTCTAAGAAGCCACGCGCGGGGCCTCAAAATTGGCGACAGTTTCAAGGATGGGAGCCTTCCCATTGAGAAAGAGGGCGCGGTGGACGTTGAAAAATGACGACAGTTACACACTTGAGGCCCAAAACCGTGCCGGGCGCCCCCCCCCGCCATTCCTGGTCCTGCATAATACGGTGCGATTTGCCCCCTCCCCGCTGTCCCGCCGGTCCCCGGGAGGGCTAGTTTTCTGGTTTTCGCTGGTAAGAAACACTTCCCCCCCTCTCGGCGGTGACGGAGGGCAGGCGGCGGAGGAGAGCGGGTTGGCAGGGTGGCTGGTTGGGCACGGAGAGCAGGCGGAGGGGATCGGCTGGTTGGCGGGATGACAGGGTGGGCGGCTGGGCTGGTTGGCTGACGGGTTGGCTAGGTGGCGGGGTGGCTGGGTGGGCTGGCTGGCTGGTTGGACGGGCTGGCAGGTTGAGCTGGCTAGGGCAATTGGTTTCGATTCCTCCTGCAGAGGGACAGGCCCCACTGAACACGAGAGCAGGCGCCCACGCAGACCAGGGCACTGCCGCGGGGGGGCCGCCACAGAGGGGCCGCCGCCTCCTGGGAAGGGGGAGGGCCCCCTCAGGACACCGCGCACCCGCACGAACCGCCTGGAAGCGGTCAGAAGCCCCCCCTGACCTCGATCGTCTGCCCCCTCCTCGGCAGCAGGCCTCCGGCGTCGTGACTCCTCTGCAACATAACAACCTCCAAGGCCTGAACTTGTTCCTCAGGACCAAATGGTTTTCATTCCTCACAGTGTGCTGATGATCCCGGGTCCTGGAAAGGGCCCCCACGAGGCCTACCTCATGAGCCCGGCGCGACCAAAATTAGAGGTCTTCTCTCTTCCCAAGCAATTCCACTCGGCTCTAAGCAATGCAAAGCACTGTTCTGCAACGCATTGCTTGGAACTGCAAGGCGTTGCTTGGCCTTGCTTGAAAGTTACTTGCGTTGCTTAGCGATGCTTCGCATTGTCTGGCATTGCTTGGCGTTGCTTGGTATCGCTTGGCAGCGCTGCGTTGCTTGGCATGACTTGGAATGATTGGCAAGTATTTCCGTTACTTCGCACGACATGGTATGCAATATACCTTGCTCAGTATCGCGTGGCACTGCTTGGCATTGCTCGACACATATTGGCATTGCTTGATGTCTTAGCATTGCGTCGCATTTGGTCACACCGATGTTCACTGTTACAATGACTTATATTGGTTGGCGTTGCTTGCCATCGCCTTGCATAACTTCGCTTTGCTTGGTATTGTCTAGCGTTGCTTGATTACTCGGCATGGTTTGACATTGTTGTGCATTGCTGGCGCTGCTGGGTGCTGCTTGGCATTGATTGGCGTTGCTTGGCAGTGCGTGGTATTGCCTGGTATAGTTTGGCATCGCTTGACTGCGTTGTTTGGCGTTGCATTGCGTTGCTTGGCGTTGCCTGGCATTGCTATGCATTGCTTGATTTGCTCGGAGTTGCGTGGCATTGTTTGGCACGGCCTGGCGTTGCCAAGCAACCCCAAGGAACGCAGGGGGGGCAACCACCTTAGCCAGAACGCCGAGGAACTGTGAGAAAACCCGGCCAATGCCGACCGGGAAGGGCACCACGTCCACCGGCTTCTTCAACAAGCAAGTAAGAAACCCTCTGGCAAAGCATGATTGGGAAGTTGCCAGGCGAGAGAGAGGGATTGGGATCATGGACATTCGATCCTCGCGAGGTAGCAGCCCGCCCGTGGTGGCGGACCCCCTGGCACTGGGAAGAATTGAGCCCGACCGCGTGGGAAGCCTTCCTGCACGGGAGGGAGGGGTAGGGGAGAGGAGTGAGAACATTGAAGGGGAGGGGATGAGCAGATGGGGAGGTTAAGGTTCGATGGGGAGGGGGAAGAGGAAGGAGAAACAACAATTACATATATTCAATATGATAAAAACATTATAAATAATCCAGAAAACGATCAACATAACACACACACACACACATACAAAAAACAAGGAGAAAAGGAAAGAAAGAGGGCATGACCCAGAACCGTGAACCCATTGCCCGGACCCGCTGGGGTGCCCCCGAGGCCGAGCAGGAAGAGGGGGGAAGTGGCGGAGGGAGGAGGAGGCAGGGAAGGGAGCGGAAGGGACCAGGGGAGGAGACATCCTTGTCCTCCTCCATATCCTCCTCCTCCTCCTGCTGCTCATCCTGGGAGGGGAGGGGAGGGGAGGAGAGGGGAGGTGTCAGCAGGGGGTAAGGAAGGGGAGGCAGGGAGAAAAGGAAAGCGAGCTGATCGGCGGTCTTGTGATTTTCAAGAAGGAGTCGGCCGACCTCCCTGCGAACGCCGCGCGATTGCTGTAGGACTTTCGGGCGTTGCAGTGGGCCACCCAGATGTGGCACAGACTCGACAGAACGGTCCGCCGTGTTTGCTGATCATGTCCTGACGCCATGAGAACAGGTAACACCGACACCACGACCACCATCGCAAGAATCAGCGGAGAGCCACCGTCTCGTGATGATGTGGTGTCGCTGTGCTGTGGCGTCCCGCTCGAGACACCCAAAATCTCCAGCTCCTGGAGGCACCACAGTCCTCTTATCCGTCGGGGTGGCTCTGCTGGTGTCTCTGCTATCCTCCGAGCACTGCTCGCTCAGGTGGGCCTGACTCGAGGCGAGGGCTGCCAGCGCGGTCGCGACTGCGCGCTCGGCCAGGTGCCTCGGAATGGAAAAACGACGGAGGAAGCCACCTGCGCCAAGTGATGCCCGATGGCAGCCGCGGCATCTGCGACGCTGCACCCTGGACTACCGGCCATGACTTGTTGCTCCGCGTGTCGCGGCAGCGGCCCCGAGCGACACGCCACGCCCCGCAGGCCGACAGCGGGTCGCTCCGCTCCGCGGGGCGGGAGGCTGGGAAGAGCTCGGGGCGTGAACGCCTCGGGGCCAGGACGCGGTCAGCGTCTCGCGCCGGAGCGTGGTGGGCCAGAACGGGCGGCGCGGCACGCTGAGCAAGTGCTCTCCCGGCCGAAGACCACCTGGTCGTTTACAGCGTATTGTCTGCTCATGCCTCGCTGCTCTCCCGCTGGCCCTGGAGGCTAATCCTCGCCCTCGCCTGCGCGTCCAGGGCCGGGCGATCCTGCAGGCATGGCCATTTGCCAACCTCGTCCTTGCCGACCAGCAAGTCGTTCCTCTCCAATCGCGCGTGATAGAGCCCCAGCGCGACAGCAATGGCAATCCAAACGGCGACCCAAACCGAGCAGTACGTCCCCGTCCAGGCCGGATTGAACTCTGCGGTGGAGCTGGGAAGGTCTTTTTGGGTATTCACGTACAAGTTGATCTGCGCAGCGACGGTCTTCTGCAATATGTTGCCGTACATGTCAGCCCAACTCTTATCGGGCCAGGCGAAAGGGGGGGATAGCAGAGGGGGGGGTCCAGAATCAGCTCAGGTAGCTGATGTTCCCAGCACCTCCCGGCTCCGGGAGGCGCCCATGTATCGAGGCATGGGCCCGGCGGCGGGGCCGAAACCAGCTGCATGCAGCAGATTTCGTAACCGTGACCCCCCCTTGCCCTATCCCCCCCTTTCGCTCGGCCCGATCTTGGCTTTGTACTTGACCTCTTTCGTGCACCGCACGTACAGCATCTCCCGGCACGGGCCGTTGAGGGCGTACTGCACCACGTTGACGAACACCAGCACCACCTGCACGGTCCAGAACCTGGCATCGGTTTGCTCCCTGCCCTGGGAGCAGACGACCAGGATAGACACGAGGGATATTCGGGTCGGGCGAAAGGGGAGGATAGCAAAGGGGGGGTTTGAGAATCAGCTCACGTAGCTGATTTTCCCGGCGCCAGAGGCGACGATGTATCGAGGAATGGGCCCCTCGGTGGGGCCGAAACCAGCTGCATGCAGCAAATTTCGTAACCCCCCCTTTCCCAAACCCCCCCTTTCGTCCAGCCCGAGATATCAGAGGGCAAACGATCAAGCCAACAGCGAGCCCGCCCCTGTCCACGATGGCGCGCAGACCCAGGAAGGACAGCGCCATGGCGCCGATGCTGTTGGCCAAGTTGGCGTAAGCCAGGAAGGAGGTCTCCAGCTGCTTGTTGTGCTGCGCCTCGGGGGAGTGATCCCCATGCTTCGCCGGCCACTTCCACTGAATTACTCCGGTGCCCTGGTAGTCAAGGATCACGCGCGGAACCAGATGCGCAGCTGCTATCCAGAAGATACCAAGCAGCACGGGGTGCGTAAGGATCATCCACAGCCCATCGACCAGTAGCCACAGCTGCTTGCCCACGACTCTGCAGCCTTCGTTTGCACCGCCCGCTGGCTGGGGTGCAGCAGTGCCTTCCGAGGGAGAGACAACATACAATCAAAACGTGTGTTAAAGACGGGCAGTAAAGACGCAATACGCTTGAAGGCCGAAATTGAGACAAGAAAGACGTCCGCTGGCCAAGACTGGGCGGCGAGCGATGGGGAGGAGATGAAAAGCAGAAGGCCATCTCAGAAGGCAGCGGGACTTCTGAGAAGCTCTCGCGCCAGCTGAGAAGTTTTCTGCCTTCGAAGAAGGCTCAGAAAACTTCTCAGAGGGCCAGAGGACTTCCGAGACTTCTGAGAAGGCCCGCCCCCTCTCGCTTTCCCCCCAAACTCGTCGCCAAACAACACATAGAACATCCACGGGTGCCCTCCCGAGGATGCACCCGAACATCCAACGAGCACGAAGAAGACCAAGGTACCCTCCCCGAGCCGACCCTGATCTCATGCCTTGGTCGGACCGTGGGCGACGGGTGGGCGAGCTTTGGGCCTCCCCCGCCAGACGGCCCCTTGGAATGTTGTCCCCCCCATGCGCCTGGACTTCTGTCGTTGTCTGCCACGGCGACGCTGGACGAACCTGTGGGGCTCAGGATCCTGAGGCCCCGGAAGACGAGGACGGGGACTATCAACAGCACGACGGCCTGCTCGATCCGCCGACCCAGTAGATATGTGGTCACCAACTCTGCCCCCTCCCTGCAACCCTTCTCCTCCTGCTCCTCCCCGCCCACACCGACCTTCTATTTTGGCGGCCCAGAAGAAAGGCGGGTGGCAGGGGCCAAGACTTCCCCAAAGCTGCACCAGACCCACCGAAACAGCGTCAACGCTGTCGAAGAGAAGCCAAAAAGACGGCCCGAGAACGGCCCTCAATCGCTCTAAGATCCCCCCACCTTGCCATCGGCTCGGACGTCCATTCCACGTGCATGTTTCGAGATCGCGCGTTTTCATTTATTCGCAAGATGATCCAAGATCCTCTTCGATGGTCCTGCCTTAGGAAAAGTGCACACGTCTAAGCGATGCCAAGCCACAGACGACCGCATCAAAAACCCAACAAGGCGCCAGCTCCTCCCCCCCCCCGTGCCCAAGGCGCTTACAGCTTAAGCTCCAACGGAAGCAAAGGACAACTCCCCACATCAGAAGCAGAATCTGGGAAACAATACCTGATGCGCACTGAGTGGGCTGCCGTCTATCTATGGGTTTCCCACAATTCGGAGAGCTCCAAAGGCGAATTATGGGAAACCCGAGGAAGCAGGGCGTCAAACGAGACCCCCACGATTAAAAGAAAAAGCTCTTCCTTGAATTACGGGGAACATATAATAGGAAATCTTGCGACCTATGGGTTTCCCTGAATTGCCCCCGCCGAGTAATGGAAAAACCCTAAGGAATCTGACGGTCTATGGGTTTCCCATGATTCTTGGCGGCGACCGGGAGGCAAGATTTCCCGGGATTGCCAGAATTTGCCCCCGCAGAAATATCGGAAACCCATCGGAAACCCATAGGTCGCCAGGTTCCCTAGGGTTTCTGGCGACCTATGGGTTTCCCATCATTCAGAACCTGGAGCCCGCTCGCTGCCGAGAATCATGGGAAACCCATAGGTCGCCGGATTCCCTGGCGACCTATGGGTTTCCCATAATTCGGAATCTGGACCCCGCTCGCTGTCTCGAATTATCGGAAACCCCTAAGTCGCCAGATTCCTCAGGCTTTCTGGCGGCCTATAGGTTTCCCATAATTCGGAATCTTGACTCCGCTCGCCGCAGCGAATTGTGGGAAACCCATAGGTCGCCAGATTCCCTACGAATTTCTGGCGGCCGATGGGTTTCCCATACTTCGGAATCTGGACTCCGCTCGCTGCCGCGAGTTATGGGGACCCATGGGTCGCCATGGATCCCGCTCGCCGCCGCGCAATAATGGGAAACCCATGGGTCGCCATATTCCCTAGGGTTTCTGGCGACCCATGGGTTGATCAGAATTGTGGATCTGGAACCCGATCGGTGGCCCCATTGCGCGAGAAAGACCGAATTCGAATGTCCCACAATTGCGCGGCGTCTGGAAGTCTTTGACATTCCACGGGGAGGCGCGTGGGCAAATTATGTGGAACTCATAAGCCTGGCGTGGGCGAATTATGTGGAACCCATAAGCCGCAAGAGACCCTACGGAATGTGGCGACCTATGGGTTTCCCATAATATGGAATCTGGACCCCGCTCGCCGCCGCGAATTATGGGAAACCCATAGGCCGTCAGAAACCTTAGGGAATCTGGCGGCCTATGGGTTTACCATAATTCGGAACCTGGACCCCGCTCGCCGCCCCCATTGCGCGAGCGAATTCGAATGCGAATGTCTCATAATTTCACGACGTTTGGAATTCTGTGAAACTCCGCGGGGCCACTGGCGTGGGCGACTTACGGGAAGCCCATGGGTCGCCAGATTCCCTAGGGTTTCTGGCGACCTATGGGTTTCCCATAAGTCGGGATCTGGACCCCGCTCGACGCCGCCAATTATGGGAAACCCATCGATCGTCAGGAACTCTGGGGAATTTTGCGACCTATGGGTTCCCCATAACTCGGAATCTCGAGCCCGCTCGGCGGCCCCATTGCGCGAGCGAATTCGAATGCGAGTGTACAATGATTGCGCGGCGTCTAGAAATCTGTGGAATTCCAAGGGGGCCGCAGACGTGGGCGAAGTATGGGAAACCCATGGGTCGCCAAATTCCCTAGGGGGTTCTGGCGGCTTACGGGCTTACCATAAGTTGGGATCTCGACCCCGCTCGCCGCCGCCAAAAACCCTGGGGAATCTGGCGACCTATGGTTTTCCCATAATGCGATACCCGGACCCCGCTCGACGCAGCGAATTATGGGACTCCCATAGGTCGCAAAACTCCCTAGGGGTTTCTGGCGACCTATCGGTTTCCCATAATTCGGAATCTCGGCGCCGACCCGCCGCTTCTGGCAATCGTCTAACTACGGGTTTCCCGCAATCCTGGATTATGGAAACCTATCGGCCGCCAGAAACCCCTGAGGAATCTGGCGACCTATGGGCTGCCCATAGTTTGGAATTACGGGAAGCCCACATATATATATATATATATATACAGACGACTGCCCACTGTGTGGGGGACGATCTTTGGGGTGCGAACCACCGCGTGCAACATGTGGGGTGCAAGCCGTGGGTTGCAGCCCAGGGGAAGCAACCTGTTGGGTGCAACACGTGGGATACGCGTCGTTCATTTCTAATCGTGCTCATTTCTGATTGTGCTCTTTTCTAATTGTTCCTGGCCCCCTAGTGGACAGGAAAAGGCCCAGGATAGAATAATTAGAAATCAAAGGATCTTGGCCCCCAAAAAATCAAAGAACCTTCGAGGAATTAGAAATTGACAATGTGTACACTCTGGTGTAACTGATGGGCGCTATGTCCATTGGACACATCTGCGCGTGACGGTCTCCAACGCTCGTGCAAGCATCATCTCGCCCACCCACCCGCGACTTAATGGGAAATCCCAATGTGAAGGGGCCCGGGGACAAACAGATAAACAAACACAATAGCAAGATTCCCCATATGTTCCCGCATGTTCTAGGCTTTTGCCGACCCCCCCACTTCCCATAGTTTGACATATTTCCAAGGGAGTCGACGATGAATTGTGTCGTGTGTGTTTTTGTTCCCTCCTGGCGGAGGGGCGGCGACAACGACGGCTGGCGGAAAACGGTTCTGCTCCTGCAGACCCTGGAGGCCATGCCGACGACGACGAAGGTAAAGGCGATGAGGCTGATGGTGATGATGA